CCCCCCCCCCACTTCTGGGTTCCCTACATAAAACCAAAATGCCCCTGAGCATCGCAAGCCCCACAGCACCCTAGACTGGAATCATGTCCGGCCTCTGAGAGAAAATCGCCTACCTGACGAATGCAAAATGGTGGCCCAGAATTCCTTGGCCCTTCGAGCAATCCCTTCTTCCAGACCAGTCAGCTTGTAGAGGGAGACTTGGTGGGGGCATTTCTGATTACTGAATTTACATATAACCATGTCGCAGTCCTGCAAAAGGAGAGATAAACCATATAGACCCACAAACCAAGGTTGGCTTGCATTCCAGTTCCTTCTTCACTTTTCCTCAAGAACAAGGTCAACTCGACTACAGATGAACTGCCGTTTCTTCATGATGAGAGAAAACCTTCCAACAAGCATTGGAGATTTGCTCCATCCTGAAGATCGTTGTTTCTCAACCCTGGCAACTTGAAGATGTGTGGACTTCAACTCCCAGAATTCCTCAGCCAGCATGGACATGTGTGAAGAAGACCCAGCTCTCTGGAAATGACTCTAAAAAGCTGGGAAAGGTGGAAAGGGAGAGAAGAAGAGAATGAACAGTAGCAAGTTGGAGGGTTTCTGACTCTCTGGCTGGGGAATTCTGGGAGTTGAAGTCCATACATTTTCAAGCTAAGAAAGACTGACTTACATATTTTGCCATTGGCTTCAAATGAAGGGACTTCCAGTCCCCAACGCAAATAAGAGATGCTGGCAAATTGGAAAAGGTTGTTAAAGACCAAATCTATCTTCCTGCAAAGCTATCATGCAAACCAGCGCCGGTGTTTCCTGCGTGGGATGAGGACAGACCATCTCTCTCCTTCTGTCCTGGCCACTTTTTACAGAGGCACGATTGAGAGTGTTTTAACAAATTACATCATGGTTTGACGGCAGCAGTGCCTCGGATAGAAAGTCCCTACAGAGAGTGGTGAGGACAGCGGAGAAGATTATAGGAAGCTGGCTTCCCATTATTCAGGATGCTGCTTATAAGCGCTGTGTGCTTAGAGCTCGAAGCATTGTTAGAGACCCTACACACCTACTTCATAGTCTGTTTCCATTGGTAGTAAAAAAAATTGAATCCCACCACTGCCTAGATTAGAATAGGTACCTGACTAACATAGCAAGCATGGGAGAAGCCACTTTCGGTGAGCCGCTGAATTTCTCCAGGGTTCTCGTAGCTAACGACGTACAAGTGGTGTTCCAAGGGAGAATCCTTTGTACCTTCAAAATATACCAGTTTGTTAACTTCATCCACCCGGATCTGATTAAAAAACAAAAGCACAAAACAGAAATGACCCACATTTCTACTATCAAGGATACCCAAAGCAGCTCAACTGCCTGACAAGGAAGTGGATGCAGAATTACCAAGTACTAGAATATCCTCCACGTGACTCTGCAAAGCCATTTTTGTCTGAAATGGCACAGGGCCTCCTGCCTGAGAAGAGGGTTGGACTAGGTCAGTGGCAGCTAACATTTTTGTTGTGGCGTGCGCGTGTACGCGCACAAGTGCCTGCACCCAGGGGTGGGATTCTACCAGTTTGCACCTAATCTCTAGAATCGGTTGTTAACATTCTAAGCAGTTCGGAGAACCGGTTGTTAGAAGAAATTAAAGGGCTAATCCTGTAAGGCAGACAGGAAGGAAACATTCTGGTGTTGCTTACAGAAACTGCCTCCCGTTAACCCTTATTACATTCTTGGCAGGACTGGACTTCCTGTCTCAGGAACTTCTCTGGAGTTTTTTTCCCCTCCTTTGCTGGCACTTTGCTTGTGTGGAGTGACCACTCAAAGTTACAATGGGCACTGAAAAAAGTGACTTATGACCATTTTTCACACTTACGACTGTTGTCATGAGATGCCAGGCAAGGAGATGTGTGCCTCGATGTGAGTGATATTGAGATGGCCACACCCAGCCAATAACATGACCAAGCCATGTCCACCCAGTCACATGACCATCAAGCCATGCCCACCAACTAAGCCACGCCCACAAAACCGGTTGTTAA